AAAAAATAAAATGATACCATTTTTAAGTTATTTAATCGAGAGAGAAGTGTACAATAACTGTAATTATCATTATCTATATTATAACTTGTGAATGATACACTTATTTATTAGGAATTATATTAATTCGTTTTTAATGCAGCTAATGAAGAAGAAATATTTCGAGGCAATGGCTTTGCACTGAAATTATTATACGCATTCACTAAAGTTCACGGTGGGGAATATTTACGAGAAACGCTTCAGCCGCCCATAAATGATTTACTATCGAAACCTGAGGATTTTGATTGTGACTTGAATCCGGGAAAATATACACCTGCTGAAATTGAAAGGAATAAAATAAATTTAAAGGCCACAATTGAAATATTCTTGAATTCAATTTATTCTTCCAATATGATGCCAAAGTATGTTAATTTATTTATATATGTATGAATTAACGTCCGATTTATTGTTCTGATATTTTTTTTATATTATTATTATTTAGAGCACTTCGACATGTGTGTTATAATATTTCCAGAATTGTTGAAATGAAGTACCCATTAAAGAAATACACAGCAGTTGGAGCATTTATATTTTTAAGATTCTTTAATCCAGCGATCGCTTCTCCAGATAGTGAGAATCTTTGTAAACCCATAGACAACCAAAGGGTTCGGCGTGCACTACTGTCTGTTACAAGGGTTATCCAGACCATTGCAAATAAAGGTGCAAATAAGGGTGTTAGAAAAGAATCGCATATGAGCGATCTGAATGATTTTATTGTTGAAAATGGTGCGAAAATGAATGCCTTTTTGGAGCGAATTTCTGTATGTTTAAAACAATATAAAGAATTTTGATAATTTTCCCAACCCCAACTATCTAATTCAATACGCATATATATATATATTTTTTTTTCCAAAATAATGCAGCAATTACCAATATCTACACCAACTTCTGAACTTAACACCATTGATACACCACCGAGAAGACTGGATGATGCTGACCGGAGGATATTACACAAATTTTTACACGACAATCTCGAAAAGATGTATAAAGAACTTCAGAATCGTCGTGCTAAATCTTTTGGGCTGCCTAATGATGAATTAGCTCAGGCAGCTGCACAAGCAAATAAAGCAACGTTGGATCGAATAGCAACATTGCTAGCACAATTAGGACC